GCGAGTCTCTGGAATGCAATAAATTGTAGAAAAATTCATCGACTGGCCTATCCAAAATGGTTTACCCGAGTAAGAATAGTTATTTCTTCAGTATAATAGATATTCTAAATGACACCTAGTATAGTAATTTGCTATATGTTCATTTCTATATTACAAATAATCTATGCTTCTGTAAATTATCGATATTTAATTATAATTATAATATTTTTAATAACCGAATAAAATAGTTTCAAATACTCAAAGAACTTAGATCATGCACTATCAGCTCATTTTATCTCATCAAAAACATAAATCAATTTTCTTATTTTATTTTTCACGCTATAGAACTGAATCACGGATGGGTGTCACGAGGCAGATCTCCGGCAGAGATGCACAGTCAATAGATGGTCGTAGTTGTTTGCATCGCGATCAACCAGAAACAAATATTTGAGTCACTTCATGGAATTAGGTAGATGTTAAAACCGGAAGCAGCAAGAGAGTCGTCAACTATGTTCATAATCCAGAAGTTCTGACTCCATTCGGGTCGACCGCAAACGATTCCGGGCTATAGCTGCGATCCTCTGAATTCCAGATACCGTAAAATATAGGTCTTGTCTCTCATCATTCGTCTCCTTGTAACGTCGATAGTGGCGGCCAGCGTCAACGGAGATCAACGTTCCGTCCTCGTCGTCAAAGCGACGGAAAAAGAAATTGCAGTCATCGGAGCCAGAAACTCATACAACAGAACGCAATACACGTGGAAAATGAAATTTCACTCCGCTGGAAAAGTAGTCTCGAGATTCGTTGGATACAGGATGCAATAACATTTCAATACCGTCCAATATTGGCACATAGCGAATTCGATTAATGAGCTACATTTGTTCTGGGATTCTTTAAACGTCGTAACCTGTATAAAACTTTATTTTCTACTCCATTTAACATCGACGAGTTTCTCGTGTACGAATTTCAGCGAAAAAATTATAAGATAAATTAGCTCGTTCTGTGCACGAAGATCTGAAAACATTTTTGAACAAGGAATTGGTTAGTGTTGTTAACGCTAAGTTTACGGACGCTATATGTATACCTATTTCTAAGGACACCTGTCAAATTGACAGGTAAAGGAAACCACGTGCGTTTTTTTTTAATGATTAGTTTAGTTTAAAAACAATTATATATTATATTAACAGTCTTAATATAAGTTAACTAAATCTGTTACCATCGTATAATTGGAGCAACCCTTCCATCAAATTGACGGGTTTCGTAAATCTAGTGTTAATACAGTGGATGGGTTATGTTTTACTGGGTTAGTTATTCTCACGATCAGAATAACTATAAGTGCTTTCCTTACGGTAGCTTAAAAGGAAGTGACTTCCACCGTTAGGTCTTTATTTGAATAGCCAAAAGAATGCCAGATGTCGCTAAAAGCGTCTAGCAACATGGAGCCGGAAATTAGAACTCTCCAACAGTTAGGATTTAGAAAGAGTCATATTACGTAAAAATACTGGCCATTTCAAAGATATGTTACGTATAAATGTTCAAAATCTTAATAACGTCTGATACACTTGCGACAACAAATTTAGTCTTTGGTGAAGTTTAATGCGAGATAATTTTCATTCTTAACCTTCATGAAGAAATATTAAGCATTCATAATCAAGCTATTCGTAATCCAATTCTAAGAAATAATGAGATATTTCATAAAACAATGCTTTAATCAACATAATTTGTTCACCATCGTTTTATATAGAAATCTGCCAGTCTCTCCGGTGAGTTGGTGTAATAATTTGCAGAATTATTAGACTCTGCTTAGAGTTTCGGGAACGAACAAAGTGGTTATCAAAATTACGGTATTTATAAAGTGTCGTAAACCA